ATTTTGCTAAGATTGTTGTTAAAGTTATAATAAACTAGTGTTTCCCCTAATTTATTTTGTTTGGAATTCCATTGATGGTAGCTTAATTTAACTTAGCTTTTTTCGTTCAATATTATCATCCATGAAATAAAATTTACAGTGGCACTACATTAACGTTAGGCGGATTACGTAAAAGTATTCTTTACACGTTATCCGTAACTTATGTCAACTTTGTGTTAAAGTTAAATTCTTACATGAAATCGAAATTAGTAATATATTAACAGATGAAAGCGTGGCTGCATGTATTAGTCGTAGTGATAATTAGAGAATGGCATATATTCGATACTTAATAGATCATGCACTAAAGTACCATACATAAACGATTGCATCGAGTAAAATTGAGAGTTCTTCTTACCAACAGTTTGTTTTTAGCTGCAGTTACAGCTTAGATTTTGTTGTAATAAAGCTTAATTCGATTTTAGATATCAAATTAGTCTGATCTAAGTATGCAACACTTCTGCATATTGACAGTAACTTTCAACTAACGTCTTGTAAATACGAGTATAATCTACGAGCCATTATTTACTTATATTGCACATTATATAATGCTAGTTAAAATCATTTATCTAAATAAAACTTTAAAAATTGATATTAAATTATTGAATTATAGAATAATTTTAGTATAAGAATGATACAGCTAAATATATTATAGTATCTGCAGATAATGAATGAAGTTAAGTTACCAATAATTTAAATTAAAGCAAAGGTAATACCTTCATCTCCTTTTGATATAACCCTTCGCTTTTTGGATCGTGCTCGAGTATCTAAGATAAACGTAGCGTAATAAAATTACTGATTTCCATCACAATTCTGTATCTGATGTCGGACTAAAATAATACTGCTCAAATACCATGATACGCATAGATAATAGATACTACAGTATATGAAGTTAAATTACTTTCAACTAACGTCTTGTAAATACGAGTATAATCTACGAGCCATTATTTACTTATATTGCACATTATACGACACTAGTTAAAATCATTTATCTAAATAAAACTTTAAAAATTGATATTAAATTATTGAATTATAGAATAATTTTAGCTAAATATATTATAGTATCTGCAGATAATGAATGAAGTTAAGTTACCAATAATTTAAATTAAAGCAAAGGTAATACCTTTATCTCCTTTTGATATAACCCTTCGCTTTTTGGATCGTGCTCGTGTATCTAAGATAAACGTAGCGTAATAAAATTACTGATTTCCATCACAATTCTGTATCTGATATCGAACTAAAATGATATTGCTCAAATACTATGATACGCATAGATAATATATGAAGTTAATTTACCAATAATTTAAATTTAAATTAAAACAAACGTAATACCTTCATCTTCTGTGAGGGAAACCCTTCGCTTATTGAATGGTGCTTGCGCATCTGAAGATAGAGGGAGTGTAGCAAAATTACTTGATTTCTATCATAATTCTGAATGTATAATATAATATCAATCTAATACAACTAAATACTCAGTTACGGTCTATCATCTGTGATGGAGATTAGTTTTTAGAATTCTCCTTCAAGTGTTTGTAATGTCATTATTCTAGCTTAGTTTTAGTATCGTTTTAAGTATTCTAGCTTTAAAAATATGACTTATCTGGCTGATTGCAACAGTAGATTTTACTTACTATAGTATCATAGCATATTGTAAACCTGGCTGCTTTATTCGGGTTGAAATTTAAGATAATTATTAGCATGATTGTTTTTAAAATTAGATGTCATAAGATTGTAATTCAAATGTTGTAATAGAATATATTTGTAGCTAATTTCGATCATTAATTGAGGTAGAAGTTAATATCACTTTATGATTTCATACTGTATGAACCCGAATTTTCGATCTGGGTTCCAATTTAAGATTATTGCTTTGTCTTAGTGTATACTGTCGCAATCTACAATTTTAAGCTAAACTATGATTATATTAATTAGTAATTTAACTAGCTTGTTCAGTTCCTAATTTCGATCGTAATAGACAGGCCTGCAACGAGGACTTATACCAATAGAGTATATTATAACATTAAAACTCTTCTAGTAGTTCTATCCTCGACAGTAATAGCAACTAGAGAAGTTTAATCGCTCACAAAAAGAAGATATTTGTGACACAAGGGTATAATTTATCGTTATTGCGTGTGTTTGATTACTAGTATAATTTAGAGTACTTTAGAATGATAGTTAGGTAGTCTAATACCACTAACTACTCTGTGTAGTATATAAAAGGTGGCATAGTTCGATAGTCTAGTACAGTTGAAGATAGAAAAGACGAGAAAAGTCAAGGATAATCGCGAGTTATCTCATTGATAGTTTGGTTGGTTTAGGCGGTAGTTCTGCTCATATTTTGTTACTCATTTAAGAAATTTTGCTAAGATTGTTGTTGAAGTTATAATAAACTAGTGTTTCCCCTAATTTATTTTGTTTGGAATTCCATTATTAATAGCTTAATTTAACTTAGCTTTTTTCGTTCAATATTATCATCCATGAAATAAAATTTACAGTGGCACTACATTAACGTTAGGCGGATTACGTAAAAGTATTCTTTGCACGTTACCCGTAACTTATGTCAACTTTGTGCAAAATTCTTAACTAAAGCGAAACGTTTACTCTATTTTTGATAATTTTTGATAATTTTGATAAGGTTCAGCAGTAAATAGTTCTTGTCGATTCTACAGACCAGATGCAATCTCGTTTCTACTGCAATAAAGTTACTAACTTCATTGAACTCTATATGATATTAATTTGTAATAGCATCACTGTGTGATAAAGCGTCTAACTTTAAGCAAAGACTTCCGTATCTTGAGAATAAATTACGTCTTCCACCAAGGACCAGATTAGCTACGACTACCTCAACTTCGAAGATGAAATCTTCTGCTTATATGTACATTTGGTTGCAAAGTATCATCAGGATACAAAGATCAACATCTATCTTAATTAGCCTAGGATTTCGTTACTTGCATATCTCAAGGTGTTAAAGTTACCTAATACAGCATCTCTAAGAACTACTGAAATCTATACTTTTTATAGTCTTAGTTTTGTAATCGCGTAGAGTTTAGAATGTAAATGTTTACTAATACTATTATAACCGCAATAAAGCGGGAAAAATATTGGTATGTGTGAGCTTTAATTATTCAACTCGTATTTTTCAAAAGTCGAAAAGATCATCAACAAGGTAACTCTAGTTAAAATAAAGGTCTTTACCCCAAGTATATATTTAAAAAAAGCTTACTAACTCCTATTTCATAGCGTTTTTAAGATCAAAATTATGATTTATCTCAAAGTTATCCGGAAATGAAATGCAAATGACACCTGAAGAACTGTTCTGAATTAAGCAATTTAGGAAAAACTCCATATGGTACGGCATATACCACAGAGATAGCTTATACGTAAATGCAAACTGAATAACATTAGACTACTAAAGAGAACAACCAATCATAGTAACATCAGCGTTATCAGTAATCATGATATTTGTTACAGTATTATTACTCTGTTAAGTCGTAGGTGTTAAATTTATTTATGAAAACGTGGTACCGCTTGTTAACTAATAATATTCTTCCTTATATAATTCCAATGTACGTGATATACTTAAACTCAGCTTCGTTGCCACAAGCTTCTCGAAAATACAAAGTGCAAACAATCCATGAAAAGATAATTAAAGTGAAGATTGCTGCAGGAACTGTACTATTGAACTGGCTGCGCAGGCTAAATACTGCTTATTGCCATCAAATTGCGATAGTTGCGGTATTATCGAGAATTTAAAGGATGTGATACCCTCAAAAACTATTCTAGAGGATAATATTTTTAAGTTTAGCGTACAGAATTTATCTTTAACTTAATATATTGTCATGCTATATTATTTCAAATATACAACGGAGTGTAATGTGGCCCAAAATAGATCGTGCCTGAAGCTTATACGGTGTAAAATAGAGGTTTGCAGTTTGCAGATTCTTACAATCTTACAAGCATGATCCATTTTAGTGGTCATATCATATAAAGAAAGCTGTTACAAATATTAAGATGATAACGCCTTATTTTAAAACGGTACGTCATCACTAATGTAAAGTAAATCATAATATTATCTATCAATAAACATGCCTTGGATTTCTCGGTCAGCGCTATTAGATAGTTCATCATCTTTCTTTAGATTTTGCAATGGCTCGGCAGCTTTAAGAATGACGTGAAAATAAAAAAGTTTAATCGACAGAACCTATGACTGACAATTCAATGTTTCTCCTTTTAATTTTAATGCCAAATTTTAACTGTAAATATCACTATTGTTCTTATCTCTCTTAATACTTTAAATCCAAAATGATAAAACTAAAGAAAAATTTCAGTTAGCTTTGTAAGAGTTTTAACAAAATTCTTATTGCGGAATACAGTAGATGTACCGTAATAAATGCAACTTTTGAAAATACTCGTATACAGTTTTAAGCACAAGTTAGCAAATTTATAAATATCAAAGGTATAAAAATATCGACATCTATAAAGTTTACTGTTAACTCCCATATCTAGAAAGTATGTTCACTAAGATAATCTAGCAGTGAATTTTCTTTTAATATATTGCCTTGTATGTTTTAGACTATGTACTATCCAACGTACTACGTAAATGCTATGTATCTTAATTATGGTTGGTGTCATTTAGAACTGTTTGATCTCATTCCTAAGTTTTAATAATTATGTGCAATTAACACAGTATAGTCACAGTCCGATTTTGGATGTAAAAAACGGCACACTGCTTGTTCTATTTTCCTATTTGTATTTACGTTTGTGAAAGATTTCCAAGCTGTTTTCTGTACCGCATAATGCATGTGTAAATTAAGAACATTTAAGATCTAGTAGTCAGAGACTACTTGACTTATCAAAAAAATTTCATATTTATATTCTTCATTACAAAGTACAGGAGTTTTCACCATAGAAGCAGTTAGAAAAGCTTATTCGTGTAATAAATGAAGCCTAACTGTAAATAAATTCAGCTACCTGTACATTTCGGTATTACGGGCTTTTATAAAAATAATATTTTTTATTACTTTATAGGAATATTCCTCACCAGTTTCACTAGCTATTCTTTCATTTTCATTCATCATCCAATCACATACCGATTTCGATTTAAAATACTTTCTACATTTCTCTTGGTCACATCGAATATAATCTGGACTCGGCATCGATGGAATATCGACCTTTTCTACTATTTTACTGCAATAAGAGCATTTGACGTAAAATCTACTTTTAGCTCTCTTAAATTTTGGCATTCGTTCATGAATAATCTGGTCCAATTGATCCTGGACTTCGAAGGGTAGTCGTGCTTCACTAATCCAATTAAAGATATTCTTCTTAATATGTTCTGCTGCGTCGGGCGGATCTTTCTGATAGCAATAGATTAAGCCAATGTAAGATTCTTCTTTCTTAAGAATAATCTGAAATGGATATTTTGGCATGACGTATATTGCACATCGATAACTAGTTTTTACTTGTGTAACATTCCAAAGTTTTAAACAGGCTGATAAATGGCAATAAAATATGCCATCAGGAATATAGGGTATAATATCTTTATTGTATCCAATGTAAAGCCAATCTGATGTACAGTAATCATTTAAATCTAGATCATCAGTAAGTGGATCGAGTAAATAAGGTACAAAATATTGTTGAGGACATTTTTTAATATCCTGGCCACTAGATTCGTCCTCGATTTTACAGATAATGTTATAACTGTCCATTAACTGTATTAAAAATTCTTTCTCAATCTCTTTCAACTTAAATTCGGTCGCCACGCTATTAATGCATACCTCAGACATTATGCCAGTTCGATGAGCTTCATTATAACATTCTATTACATTAGCATTAGTAAATTCGTGATCATCAAGCTTAATAATTGATCGAAATATACCGAGTAGCCAATCAAGATTAGTTACAACCATTTCTTCTACGCCTTTCTTCTGACAAAAGACAATATCACCTATATCATGTAAATATAATAGCATACTGCGTAATTTCTTGTCGCTTTCATATAATTCGCAATCTTTAGCTAATTGTTTCACCTCTTCAAATGTCATAATATTATGAATTCTATTTATTATGTTACTGAATTCTGTTTGTGATGCAGCTAGTCTGCTTGCATCATCGGCTGAAGTATGTAATATCGATGCCATGAGATACCATCGAATTGGAATTTTTTCTTTCATAAACGGTAAACTAAGGGCGAATTGCTTTATTAACTCATGTAATTGTAATGTAGTCTGTTTACGCTGTTCAATAGCCGCTTGGGAATCATCGTTGGAATCATATTGGAAGATAATGCCAGAACAGCACAGGTTGGATTTGTATGCAGATAATGTCTGAATAATAGAATCCCTAAATGCCTTAAATCTACTCTTGCGTTCTTTATCGTCTTTAATTTTATCACCATGTGATGCTATCAAGATAACAACTGGTAAACAATACTCTTCCTTTTTACCATTAATTTCTACTTTAATAGTCTCATCGCTATCATGGCTGCCTATGGTTGATGTAAGCCATTCCTGCATAGCATGTCTATAAGTCATATTAGTCTTCTTTCCTTGCCTGTCAATAACATAATCATCGAATTTATGGGTAATATTAAAAACTAAAATATATATACTGTTTCCTGATAGAAATGGACGATGTGTAACATGATAAACAGCTTGACCTCCAAAATCGACTAATTTACCATATTGACTGTCATCGCTTTGTACTTTGCCTTTTAAATCAGTAACAGATCGCATGAAATCTTCGTAAATTAAAATTTTGTGAAACTTTGTCTTTGTAGATACCGTAGATAAAGCAGTGTCGGTAGAATCATCTACGTTTATTGCACTATTAGTTTTGACGGTATTTGACAATGTACTTATATTCGTCGTCAGTAATTGACGATCTATGTGCATAAGTTGGATATTTTGACTTGCGTCAGGTGAAATTTTCAACGTCTTTTTGAATTTCTCTATTACCGCTAACACTTTCCCATATAATACTAATCGTAAACTATCAATTTTCTTGTCTAAAATATTATATGTAATGAAATTGATATATCTGCCAGTGTTATCCATGATCTGAGTTTGTGTTATGCCAATAGTGACTTCCTCATTTGTAAAGATGTTCATAATGGTCGTTTTACCCACATTTTCTGGACCGCTAAAAACAATTTTAGTGAAATCATTGCGACATTCCCCATCTTGTAGAGCTTCATTATAAGCAGCTAGATATTCTTTATTATTGACGTCTAAATGAACATGAATTAAACTTATTTACTTCATCTAAGGATAGCTGTTAATGTATATTAACACGTTGCCAATTTCTATAACAGGTAAATATATATACTCTACAATTGAAACTAAAGTTTGACTTTATATCAAAATTATTTATAAATAAGAATAAATCTATTCAATAAGAAATATAAATTTTGATATTTGTCAAAGTAAGTCTGAAATGGATTATTCATCAAGATTGATTGTCGTATCATCAATTTTTAGCAACATAAAGTAGTTATTTGAAGCTTTTACAGTTTAAGTAGCGTTATTCTAGGGTACATATAAAATTAGTGCAATTACGAAGGCATAAATGAGATCGACAATTTCATCGCAATAAATGTGGCTGTTTTAAGGATACTTATTACTCAGAGACTGTGTTTCCGTTAATCATTATTTAATTCTCATACTCTATTGGCTATAATGATTGTTTCATAATAGTAATGACTATACAATAAATTTGAATCATTCTTCTATACATAAACGTTAATTATATTAGCAAGGAAAGTTTCCTCTTTATAACTAACCATTGAAATCATCTATTGCCGTTTGTTCTTCATTTCTAGACTGGTTGATCGATTTATCTTCAGGTTTCTCGCTTTGTTGGCCAAGCTCTACAGTAGAATCTACAGCAGCATCAGTGTAAAAAACAATTTTTGTTGAAAGTTATGATTTCAAGTAACAAAATATCTGTATGTTTATTTTATGTTTATTGACTCGAGCATTTTAATAACGACTACCGTAATTTCTTCAAAATAATTTCATCGAACTATATCTACTCTAACATACTGTTCGCATATGAATTGAAATGAAGGTCCATTTACATGTATATTATTTTAAAATTTATTTTCTATCGAAGGTGACATTGAAAATTGAAGTTTATTTTAGTGACAATTATCGGAGAATAAATAGAACTATCTAGTTACACGTCTAATATTGTAGTAATGATTTGTTCAGAAATTGCTTAACCTTTGAGAAGTAATTTTTATCAAGTGTTGTTGTTGCTGTTTACTAATTGCTAGCAAGTACCGGTAAAGAACAATTAAGTCATAGTTATCGAAATTAGCATAATATGAAGATGTAGTGCAGCCCCAAATATAGCTTGGATTGTGATTGGAAGACTGTACGAAAGTAGTGGTACTCGTAGGTTAGATTGTATGATTTTGAAGATATCTATTTGTAGAAGAGGTTCACAATGCGTATCGTCTAGATATTATTGAGATGTTCATGTTAAGATTGCATGATAATAATAGAGGTAGCACTAATTATGTTAGTACTGTGAGAATTGCATTGTGATGCTTTAATTAGACGCGTGAATGACGAATAGCTCGCGCGATGATAAACTGTTATCTTGCGACTTAATTGGCAAGATATGATTTTAATGTGTAAAATTTATTGTGTAACAAAGGGTATATAAATCACGAACTTTCGCTGTAATTCATATAGTCCTATTGAAGCTAGATAGTTTTTGGTAGTTGTGAGACGAACCTAATCTATGTAATAAAGTAAATTTACTAGAAATCGAAATTTGTTTTATTAATAAGATGATTTCATGAGTATGTTTGGAATTCAAAATGATCACTCAAAATCGGCTTGTCTTTGAAATATACATATTTAATTTATCTTAACTAATAATAGTAATAACAAGACGTTCTTTGTTGTAGTAGATGGGCTGATATCCATCTCAAATATGGTAATAATATACTATCTTCAGGCATAAATGATAGTCTTCTTACAGTGCTAAGAAATACTATACGATCTTAACCTTTAGCAACATACTACCGTATGTGTTGCTTAAAATGCATCATCAAGTAAATTGTTGATTTGTTGTTGGTTAAATAAAATGTCTGTGGCTTTATTACTAGTCAATGATGCTATAGTTTAGTTTTTAAAATATTATTGAAGTTAAA